ATATTATAACAAGTATTATCATTTCTCTTAATTTAATGAATTCATTAGTTTTGTGTTTGTTAAAGTTAGCGTTTTGGAAATATATGATGACGATAGGTGGATAATAAAAGTAGTAATGCAAAGCTTTGGTTCCACGTCCGTGTTTGGCGGTATTTGTGTTTCTTTTTTGTTTAATCAGCTCTTCATTTTAGATTTTCAAATATTTTGGCATCGAGCATCATTGAAAAAAAAATTAAATGTCGAAAAGTGCATCTGGTTCAGTTTAATTAGTACCGTTTATTGTATCATAACTATACATACATATTTTGTTGGTCTAGTACCAGCAGGGTTCATATTCATATCACATCAACATGTTCTCGTCCTGATACACAAGTAATATTTACCACTGTACGTAAAAAGTCAATCCACCCTAATCATTTCCATCATCTAATACAGTGATATGCAATATCAGATAACCAAATCGTAATGGTGTACGTAAAACGTAAAACAATAACGTAACAGCGGTATGTGGCTAAACCGTTCGGAATCAATGTTAGGTCTCCAATGCTCTTTAACTTCCTACTTTATTAGACCTTTCAACTTATTTGATTTGAGTGTCACGGATGAGTCTTTTGTATACGAAACGCGCGACTGGCGTACACAATTATAAGACTGGTATCATTGATGAGTTTTGTTTTTTACCATTTAGAACCCTTACTGTCGATCTGTACATACAGTACAGTAAATCTGCACACAGTTAATAATTATACACAAGATGTATATGTAGTTTGGTATAAAACAATAAAAGCATGACAATAATTTAGCTATGATTGTTGCAATGTACGAAAACACGATTTTAATAACTACATTGAATAGAATACAAACGAAATCGGTCAAAAAGTAATCCTTAATGTATTTATTTTTTTGTTGAGACTTCTTGAATTATTGTGGAGGATACCAAAGCCATACATTAAATGTTTAGATTATATTTAAATGAAATTCCTTTTATTAGAATAGTCATCTTATTTGCAAAGTTTTTGAGTATGTCAAATAAAATGTATTGGTATGTTTTGGTTCCGAAGTGTTTATAATGACAATTTATTTTCTGTTCTGAAGATTAAACAGAGATTGAAAACGTATATATTAAAGACAAATATTTGTTTCTTTTTAAGTTATAAAAGCAAATTTGTATTACAAATGTCTCGACTATATATGTACTCCGCACATAAAGTAAATCGAACTTTTTTGTGAGTATACCTTCATGTTATATATTGTTATATTTTTTCGTTTGGATTGTTGCTTATGTAAATTGTACAAATTATCTTGAATTGTCTGGCGGTAACTTCAGTAGCGTATATAAGTGATAAAAAGTATGCCCTTAACGTATAGTATACAAATAACATATAGCTGATAAGTTTATAGGGTAGAGTGTTACCCCGAGAAAATCGTTGCCAACCTGGGCGAAGCAGTGGTGAACAATCTGCTATATTACCTTTTCGTCTTCGCTTTATTCAATCATTGGTTAAAGTTTTATCAGTTTCTTTAATAGTTTAATATAAAAGGGTAACACTCTTAAACTGAGCTCAGATTTAAATTAGAATGTCACCCTCGTATTAACCAATAAAAAATTAAGTATAATATAAGAGGATAGCATTCTTAAACTGAGTTCAGATTGAAAGTAGAATGTCACCCTCGTATTAACCTATAAAAAACTAAGTATAATAATAAATTTTCTCATATAAATTTTGTCGTGTAGAGTACAATTTGTGATTAAGTATTTAAATAGTTTCGAAAATTTCTTGACATCATGTATACCCAAGTTAATAGAGCTGCTGGGTCTTTGGAAAGACTTTCTTGAGGGATTTTCAATTTTACTATTGGTATCTTTTCTTAAATGGTAAACTTTATATTACAGTCAAAACGTGTCATTTTAATAAATTATGGAAGTACAGAAGCCGAAGCTATTGAGCGGATTTTATGCTTAGGAACTAGCGCTACGCTTCTGTACAACACTAAAGATTTGATACTAATTTCAGTGCCAACAGTGTGCATTGCACGAGTTTCTTGAACAACCTCCATCACTTTCCTTATGTTTTTCGGAATGAAACAGTACGTACATTGACAGTAAACTGCGTGACATACTTGATCTCAATTAGGTTAACCAAGCTTTATGCTATCAAACTTTTAAACAAACTGTAAACTTTGAATATATTTTTTGAAAGCAGTCTTAACAATTATCAAGAGCTACATTAATTAAAAAAGCATTAATATCTTTATTGCACACATTTGCATTTTGAGGTTCTGTATCTCTAGCTTCTCTGTTATTTGTGTGCATGTGAAAATGATACTAGCTTCGAAGCAACGATACTGGCCCGCTAATTCTTCCAAGGACTAACAGATTTGTTTTTTAAATTCAATGGACCACTTCATAATTTCAAGTTCCGTTCTCGTAAATTACGTTGCGGAGTCTTAAGTATTCTCATTCAGACATGTGATATCGTGACCAATCAGAACATCGGGAACAGTGACGTTCCCATAATACAACAATATATCTAAATTGGTCCTTTGTGTTGTTGACATTTTCTCAATTCTTTTTAAACATGTTTGATAAATCATTTAGTACACATCGTAGAAAAACTTTGATTCTTCATTGAAAATATGTAGATCGCTCTAAAAATAGAAAGTTAAGCATTTTAGCGGAAAAATCGGTCGTTTTAGCGCTAAAGTAATACTCATTTTAGCGCCAGATTTTTAAACCATTTTAGCGAAAAGTGAAGTTAATAATGCCCAATTTAACCACATGTACGTAAATTAATTCATAGTAGAATGATCAATTTATATGGAACCAAGACAGCACAATATGAAAAAAATAATTTCCATTAAAGTAAAGCACTAAATGTCTAAAAAGTTAACTCATGTCACAAGTCCGTTCTAGCCTTGAATTTATATCCCAGTGAAAGTACGTAATGTGTCCTAGGTACATTGTATACCCCTGTACAATACTGTTCATAAAATTGCGACAAAAAACTTTTCGTTCTCTTTGTCTTTTCTAAGTTGAGGTGCAGATTCTTCGATGCTTCTTTTTTTAATATATGTTGTTGTTTGTAATTTAATGATAGTATACAAAAAACCATCACACATCGCACTTTTATTTTCCGTTTGTTGCAACGACGTATTCCAATGTTTAACCAAATTGTAATTCAAAACAACTTAAACATTAAGCAAGCATAAATTACTGTCCACGGTTTTAGTATGGTGAGCATAACCAATCAGGTAAGTTTTCGCTAAAATGGGTCATCAAAAATACAGGAGAACGGATTAATGCGCGCGCTAAAATGGGCTGTAATGTCTGTGCTAAAACGTCCCCTGCGCCCTTTGATACGTAGTGTTTGGCACTCTTACAAAAGTTTGTTCTCGAATGGAAGGAATAATCTTTAAGGACTAAAGCACATTGGTAAGACAACATTCATAAATATAAATATTCGTACATTTAAAAAAATTAATCGTGGACATCTAATTAAAAGGATGTTGTTTTGAAGATTGATAACACTTTTTAATTTTAAAACCCAAGGAACAATAAGTGGCCATATCATACGTTCTCATATGACTATTTGTCATCTCAAGGTTGGGCATCCTTACGTTTGGAAGCATATGATTAAGAATCAATTCAGTCTTTATCTGTCTTCACTTTAAAGTTAGCCTGGACATGTCTAGAGCTAATGTGTAGCAAACGTCTACAAAAGCACTGTTCGTTTGAGTGGCAGTTGATTAAATATAAAGACAATGCTATAACCCTTAATGTAATTCTAGATACGAAGCACTGCTGACAGTTAAATTATCTGCAACAATGCAATTACGTATAAACTAGTTATTGCAACTGGCAGATCAAATCGTTTCTACTTATCAAATTATGTGTTTCAATCTCATGATTACGAACGCGTCATTCAAACATAATTCGATTCTAAATCAATGCATTGCTGGTCATAGACATTTTAGTGTCTAACTAGGAAATATATTGGCCAAAAGGACGTAGCATATGAGAAAAGTAGAGAAAAAACAGCTACTTATATACCGTGTTGAACTGTGGGTACTCCATTCATATTTTTTGTAACACGAAGGTCTGTGATCTAAAAAACAATGTCAACCCAAACTACATTTGCAGGTGCTTGTTCGAAGTCATGAACCTCGTCAAAGGCTCTCTTTCTTATGTCTTAAGTCATCTTACTATTGAAAGACATTCTTGTTATATGTATGCTGAAAGAGAGGCGGAGGATACCAAAGGGACATTCAAACTCTCAAGTCGAAAATAAACTGACAACGCCATGGCTAAAAAGAAAAGGACAAACAAACAACAGTACACAAAACACAACATAGAAAACCAAAGACTGAGCAACACGAGCCCCACCTGAGTGATGACAGATATTAAATAGTTTCTGATAAGCCATTTAAAACATTTTAAGACGTATGACAAGTAAGAGCTTGACATATTGTGATGACACTTGCCTACTGTTGCAACCAAAAGTTGACCTCTAAATGACTTTCGGTTATTTGTGTCGTTGGGTTGCTGTGTTATTGACGCATACCCAACATCGCCTTCGATTCAAAGATGATTACTAGTAATTAGGAATTCCAGTTCATTTTATAGTTGTTTATCTTCATTAGTTGTCGTGAACATGTATCAGTCTTTAATTAAATACAGGAAAATAAGACAACCATTTTGTTAAACCAGGGAAATTTATATTTATATGTCGTTAATAATTAAATTTGTACAAATCTGTCGGAGAAACATGTAGAAAATGCTGAATAAGAAGGAAAAGTAGGGAAATAATTAGTATGGTATCTTTTAATCTCCAAAATCAATACTGTAAATCAAATTGCCTCTGCCAACAAAAATCTTAAATAAAGTAACAAATTTCAAAATAAAAACAGCGTTGATAGTGTTGTAGATTGCAAGCAACTCTGTCATTTAAATTCAAACAGCAAATGAGTAATGATTTGTAAATTATGGATTTTGTAGATCCCAATGGAATGATAGTCCACGTGCGTGCATCATGGATCCGGAGACTATGAATTTAGGATGAACCATTAAACATATTTGGAGATAACACGTAGATTTATGATTAACAACTGTAATTATTACTATGGTAAGACAACAGTTTTATTTTTATTTAATTAAATATATATAGAAGAAGGAGAATTAAATATATAAATGGTTAAAGCATACGAAAAAACAATTATTTTTCTACCGGAGCTTATTTTTCAGGTATTGACAGGCGAGACAGTCGAATCCGTGCATGCGTTTATTAAGCTCAATATTTTACTAACACCACTTCTGCTTAAAATATTGGTCAAATTTAATTTCAATATTCTATTTGTTGGAAGCATTCATATGTATTTGTACGACAGTACATTTGTTATTTATAGTCAATGTTAATAATTCAACATTAATAATTAGTCATTTGTGTTTTAGGCAAACGGTACATAACATCTCCAAAACTTAAATGCAATACAGGAATGATTTTTAAAAGTCATGTGAAACATTTGATAATTTTTAAGCCATATTTTTTTTTCCAAATCGTTCTTTGTAAATATCCGTGAAGTCACGAAACAATCATCGGTCAACTGTCCTAGTCCAATATACGATATATGGAGTGATTCAATAGACAACTAGAAGTAATAAGCATACAAAAAGGCAAAACTTCTACATCATTTGATCTCTGGTGGCGAGTTGTCTCATTGGTAATCATACCACGTGTTCTTATTTTTATAAAATAAATTTTGTTGATCTTTTTTTGGATAAGATAAAAAAAAAAAATCAAGAGAAAGTTCCATCACTGGGCGATTTATCTCTAACCGTCAGTAAAGGGTATGTGAGGTATGTTGTGATATCGTATTTTTCAATATTTTTTTTTATTAAAAACTTTTTCGACTGTCGTGTATTAAAGACTGATGCAATGTTAACAAAGAAATATCAGTAATATATATTGACGATTAATTATTTATCCTCTGGCATTGCCAATCGGACGTCCTGTAGTATGTGTAAAAACGCTGGACGGGAGAAGTTGAGGGATCATAATACACAATAGCAGTATTTTATATACTTGTGCTATCATGGGGGTGATTTAGATTAAACAATGTTGCTAAAACTATAAGGACTAAATATTTTTAAGAATTATTAAATTAGAATATACCAATGTTCATTTGAAGACTTCAGTAAAATCCAAACATTAGAGTTTCATACTTTTGAAGCCGTCGAAAGAACCTGGTAAACAGAAAAAAACTTTTTGTAGGCAAAAAATTGTTTTCTAGTTTTGATTTCGTTTTTTTGAATGTTAGTTTAAGAAAAAGATTTCTCCCTTTGATGGGCGCTTTTATAAAACGTTTTTTCAGGTGGTTAGAAAAAAAAAAAAAAAAACAAAACAAAATTTCGGTAAATTTTCTCTCGCAGTAAAAACAAACTCACCAAAGATACCAGGCTTTTTTGTACACCTGATGTGCCTTTCGTCTGCGTAAGACTGATCACAGGTGCGCGAATCAAAACAGATGGAAAGTCAAATCAATGACAAAGATGAAAAACATTGAAAATAAAACTGAGATAACAACTTTATGCCAAACTGGGAGTAGAAAACCTTAATTTCAAGAGCAGTGATTTGAAGCTTATGCTTTATGTCGTCACGTTTATATTGGATACTCTTTTTCAAAAGCGTCATTGTTGACTTATTCGATCACGAGGTTTTACACATTTAGATTAATTAATTGATTGTTGTTTATTTAACGTCCAGTGACAAATATTGCATGCATATTCAGCACGAGAACAAATAAAAAATTAATACAATAGGTAGGTTTTGTACAGTAGGTCTTCCGGGATGGCCATCTACGTGTTTTTTTCTGCACAGACACCTATTTTTTTTCTGTACGGACACCTAAGAAAGACACCTAAACCGGAAGAGAGCGTTACTTTCACCCTACATTGGGCATCTGATATAACGTCCGCATTTCGATCAGACGTGGCTGTGTATTTATACATCCTGTACACCAGACGAACACCCCACTTAACGCAAGCCAGATTTTACTGTCGGGTGGGAAAAGTCCAGGGACTACCATATACATTCAGTTTAACACACGAAAGACTGAAAAGATTTTTTCCCTGGAAGAAACTAGTTTTCCATCTTTAAGTTCACAAGTTACAACAATCTTCCTCTTTCGATATTTGACTTTTGCATTTTAACAAAGCTTGCATGTTGAAAATCTAATATTTGACGATCTTGATTGGAGAAATATCGAAACAGAGTGATAATCTATATAATAATGTTTTGAACCTCCCACCTTATCTATTAAAGGCTCTCTTGATTGATAATGGAATTTTTTAAATGCAGAGACAGCCAAGCAGTTTTTTTCTTCAATAAATTTCGTATTAACAATACTCTAGTGGTTATGAAATTTAGATTACTTTTAGTGGAATATAGATCGTGTTACAATAAATCAACTAAGTGTCAGTTACATTAAAAAGTTCGAATTTCTAACAGTTTATATGCTATTTTTGGATACTTCGACAGACTTACTCTTTTGGTTATGATAAAGCATGTTTACGAAACTTTTCTCGGTACGATGTCAAGTCTTGAAAGATATATATATGATGAATTGCACAGTCAAAAGAAGTAGAAATGCAATTCATCAAAGTTACTGACTAGAAGATAGATGCCTGTTTGAACATTTCTGACTAGTTCAATTTCTTTTAGGAATACATTGTTATTGAATCCAGATTAAATGTGACAGGAACTGATAGATAAGGACTCCGGTTGCGGTTGTGATGCAAATTATGGCTACGATTACGCAAGAATTAATTTAAATGTTCATTCAGAATCCCAAAATCAATCAAATCTTCTACCGTAATGTAACTTTTAATGCATAATTCGTTCATTAAAATTCCGAGTTAATGTCCGAAATAATTCATTTGCAAATTTTAATTTAGAATTAAAATAACCCAACGCCTTTCTTTAAATTGATCATTATTCAACTAAATGTATGAGGCAAAACTTTATAAAGTGCATTTGTTATAAATATCAATGAATGAAAATAACAAAAATAATGATATTAATGTAAAAATTTGAACTTTTATCTGACGTAAATGAAATCTGGTACCCATAACCTCTAACACCTCACTCTGTTTGTTTTCACTTCATCTAAATATTCTTGTCTGCTTATATGTATCAGCTGTATATATATTCCCGTCTTCCTTGAGAGGAGAAAGTAATTGAATTTGAACGAGACACATGCTTGTTTGATTGATTGATTGTTGTTGTTTAACGTCACTTTCAACACTATTGGTAATAGCATGGCGGTCAAGAAGAGGAAGCCGTAGTGCCCGCAGAGAACCACCGACCTTCAGGAGAAAAACTGACAATCGACTGGAGTCAAATCCACCTGTCACGTGCTATGTTCGAACTCACAATCTCAGTGTTGACAGGGTAGTGATACAGTAGGTAAATTGGTCTTTGGTAGACGAAACGTGTGTCTGTCGTGCAAAATTATAAGCCTGGTATCTTTGATGAGTTTCGTTTAGACTACTCGGCCAGCGAGGCCAAGACAGACACATGACACCAAAAACAAGGATTTACAGATTGGATAAGTTTCTAATCATTGCATGTATTAATAGATAATACTTAGTTAATTGAGTATAGTTGCAAATGAAGATTCTTCTGTCAAAACATATTTGACTTTTCCAATAACTTTGTACTTCGTAAATTCTTCTGACTTTTCAATTCAAAGACTTCATGCTTTCTAAGTGTGTAAAATCAACATCTCTTAAAATGTTTCAGATCCCTTTATCCCCGATAACGTTGTATTTAAAAAAACAAAATTGTTAATAACCGATTGCAGTGAGAAAAAAAAACACAAGAATATGTGCATTTAGAACACTATATGCATCACTAACACTATCACATTTCCATGCTGAAATAATCAAACACCAAATCTGGATCAAACTTTTAATTTGACATATATCTTAAAAAGTTTTCAAAGTTGATGTGACCACAACTTCATGGTAAACTATCTTAAACAAAAGCATTAACCCGATGCGTGACAGACGAACATACGAAAAGGACGAACGTTTAGACCGCAACTTATAATGCCCATGACTATCGTTTAGGAGGTAAAGAAAAATTCCCTTAAGTGCTGAATTGAGGTTTTTTCTTCATTCCCGTTTCAAGTGGGAGATCCAAATCGTCCATCTTTCAAACAAGTCAACGCACTTCACTAGCCTACAGAATCGATTTATTGTTTAATGTGATATCGTCCTATATATGAGAGGGACCACTTCCTCCTGCTCCCACTTCCCTCCCTTTTTCTCACAATCATTCCCCTTTACTTCCAGTCGAAAGTCGACCAAAGAAACTTTTCCAGCATATCATTATTTTTTCCTTTTCCCGGTTGCCGCTTTCCAACCCTTCATTTCCAGGTTCCTTTACCCCGGTCAAACCCCTCCAATATGCATAGAATATTTGCACCTGGACATCATGCAACAACAATCGAATCAATCATCCAACATGACTGTATATAAACTCACCATAGATACCAGTATTAAAATTTTGTACGCAGACGGGCGTTTCATCTACAAAAAACTCATCAGTGACGCTTGAATCAAAAAAGTTAATAAGGTCAAATAAAGTACTTTTTTGCCAAACACAGCTAAGATAATCTATTCCTGGGGTAGAAAATCCTAAATATTTTGAAAAATTCAAAGTTTTGTGAACACCATCAACTCTGTAAGTCATCAAAGTGCGTGGTATTGCATTGTTTTCGTTTGTACTTGCAATAATTAAGGTTTCAGTGAACTAGTCCCTTATAAATCTTAGACAAATGAAAGTCCCATCCGTTTATGCGTTTCTACAAAGGAGATAAAAGTTGCATGTTGAAAACAATGTGTTCATTATTATTGATCTATATCATTTATTTCCGATCAGATTTTGATGCATTTGTTTTTTAATTAAGAACTCTATCTGAAAATCCATGTCTTGATTATTCGAAAAATGATTGAATTCATTTAATATTTACGGTTTCATTAAAAAGGGGACCAAGTAAGATTTGAAATTTCAAGTATTGTTTTGTCCGATAGATGTTTTTTTTCCTTAAAAAAATGACGTCT